CAGAAGTATTTGTTGAATAGGCCAATAATGTGCTGGTATGAAGTAAAAGGTCAATTATAAGACACATATCTGGTTTGGGTGTTTGGTGCAGTGGTTAGTGGCTAATAATTTACCTCATTGTTTTTGATTGGATGCCTGCTTGGGACACCTGCATCACATATCAGAGTAGTTGGGAGTCCTGGCCACTCTGCTTCTAATCCAGCTTCCTGCTAAAAGATACCCTAGGGCGGGCACCGTGGTTCAATAGGCTAATCCTCCACCTGCAGCACAGGCACCCCAGGTTCTAGTCCCAGTCGGGGCGCCCGATTCTGTCCGGGTTGCTCCTCTTCCAGTCCAGCTCTCTATTGTGGCCCGGGAGTGCAGTGGAGGATGGCCCAAGTCCTTGGGCCCTGCACCTGCATGGGAGACCAGGAGAAACACACCTGGCTCCTGGCTTCAGATCAGTGCAGTGCGCTGGCCACAGCGTGCCAGCCGCAGTGGCCATTGTGGGTTGAACCAACGGAAAAAGGAAGACCTTTCCCTCTGTCTCTCTCTCTCTCTCACTGTCTACTCTGCCTGTCAAAAAAAAAAAAAACATACCAGAATACCACTGATACCCTAGGAGGCAACAGCTGATAACTAAAGTACCTCGGTCCCTGGGAGACCTGAATGGAGTTCTGGGCTCCTGGCTTCAACCTGGCCAAACTCTAGCTATTGAGGCCATTTGGGATGTGAGCTCTTTCTCTCTCTCTCAATCTCTCTGCTTTTCAAATAAAATGAAAATAAATAAATGCAAATTGTTAAAAGATAAACTTACGGAGCTTTGTAATTTGTTAGCTTTCAATATGGAAAACATCTGAATCACTTTATCCACTGTGGATGTAATCTGGTTACTCCAAGGCTACATACACTTTTACCACTCCAAACACTCATCCCTATTCCCCAACCCCCTGCCCTACCTCCCGGTCCCACCGGGACCCGCAGCTCCTGCTCACTTTAGCTCCAACACATTTCTGGACCTTAGTGGCCTATGGTTGGAAGGAATCTTGGGGCTCCCACTCTACCACATGACCAGAAGCCAAACCGCTTGCTCATCTTCTTGGGCATCTAGCCATGTCAGGAGCAGTGTTCAGCACACTGTAAAAAAGGCTTGTATGATTCTTTGGGAAGTCTTAGCTTTTCAGGACTGAGTTTCTTAAAATTATAAAAATGGGGGCTGGCGCTGTGGCACAGTGGGTTAATGCCCTGGCCTGAAGGGCCAGCATACCAGTGGGCACCGGTTCTAGTCCAGGCTGCTCCTCTTCTGATCCAGCCTCTCTGCTATGGCCTGGGAAAGCAGTAGAAGATGGCCCCAGTCCTTGGGCCCCTGCACCCACGTGGGAGACTTGGAAGAAGCTCCTGGCTCCTGGCTTTGGATTGGTGAAGCTCCAGCCATTGCAGCCATCTGGAGAGTGAACCAGCGGATGGAAGACGTCTCTCTCTGTCTCTACCTCTCTCTGTAACTCTCTTTCAAATAAAATAAAATAAATCTAAAAAAAAAATCACAAACATGATGATGTCAATGATGATGCCAAAGAAAAAACCGACATCAACTTCAGTAAACCATAGATTTTACAGATCATATCCACATTCAGAGAGCCAGCACTTCAAAATTTTAAATTTAGTGGCCTGTTTTTGTTTGAAATTGTAAATGTGATGGTTAAAAGAAATAGATATGAGCACACTATGTTAGAAAAACTGTGTTGAGAAACACGTGAAAGTCCAACATTACATATTCTTCCAGTTATTTTTCCATATTAATATATGAATATAAATGCATTTTAAAACTATTTATTTATTTATTTGAAAGTCAAGGTTACACAGAGAAGGAGAGGCAGAGAGAGAGAGAGATCTTCCATCTGCTGGTTCACTCTCCCAATTGGCGGCAACAGCTAGAGCTGAGCTGATCCAAAGCCAGGAGCCAGGAGCTTCTTCCGGATCTCCCACATGGGTGCAGGGGCCCAAGGACTTGGGCCATCTTCTACTGCTTCCCTAGGCCATGGCAGAGAGCTGGATTGGAAGTGGAACAGCCAGGACTCAAACCAGTGGCCATATGGGATGCCGGCACTGCAGGTGGTGGCTTTACCTGCTATGCCACAGCGCTGGCCCCTATAAATGCATTTTTAAAAGAGGGACTTTACCTACTGTTCTGTATTGCCTTTTTTTGCTGCCCAACTGAATAGTTTCATGACTCTGTAGAATAACTTATTTCACATTTTTGCTTGGATGCATACAATTTCATGGAAACAGTATTATTATCATCATAAATATTGTGGTAAACATACTTGGACAATAAAATAAAAAGATGCTTCAAGTGGTGGCACATGCCCCTGCGTACATAAAGAATGAAGGAGAGCTAGAGCAGAGTTCAAGAATTTTCCTGGTTCACAGTGGGAGTGTTTAATACAACACATGGCACTGTTCATTCTGGAGCTTGCAATTTCTAGATATCCTAAATAATTTCTAGGAGCCATGAATTCCATGAGTGGACAGATGGAATGCTTTTCCAAGAGCTGAATTAGCAAAAGCACTGAAGTTCTCAGTCATTGACCAGGTATCATGACTGTTTCCAAACAGAGTAGCCATCAACAATGTAGTTAGCTACCCTGCAAAGCTCTCATTTATGAATGAAGGTGAAATAAAGACCTTCTATAACAAACAGAAATTGAAAGAATTTGTCACCACTTGCCCAGCCTTACAAAAGATGCTTAAGGATGTGCTACACAGAAACATGGTCATCATTATGAAAGAAGGTGAAGGCAGAAAATCTCCCAGTAAAAGTACAAAGGAAATCCAAAATAAACAATGGGGATATTTATGGGAAAACATTAGGCCAAGTGGTTAATTATCAATGGTCACCTTGAATGTAAATGGCCTTAACTCTCCAGTTAAAAGATACAGACTGGCTGAATGGGGAAAAAGTCTATTTGCAGCCTACAAAAAAAACACATCTCACCAACAAAGATACACACAGACTGATAGTAAAAAGATGGAAAAAGATACTCCATGCTAACAGAAACCAAAAAGAGCTGGTGTAGCCATCCTATTATCAGCTGAAACAGACTTTAACACAAAAACTGTTTAAAAAGAAAAAGAAAGGCACTATGCAATGATTAAGGGATCAATTCAACAGGAAGACATGACTATAATAAATGTATATGCACCTAATTACAGGGCACCTGGCTATTTAAAAGAAATGTTAATCGCTCTAAAGGGAGACAGACTCCAATACATTAGTAATAGGAGACTTCAATACCCCACTTTCAGTAATGGACAGACCAAGCAGACAGAAAATCAGCAAGGAAACAACAGAGTTAATCGACACTAAAGACCAAATGGACTTAACGGACATCTACAAAACTTCTCATCCTACACTTGCTGAATACATTCTTCTCACTAGTATGTGGAACTTTCTCTAGGATAGACCACAGGCCAAGCCATAAAGCAAGACTCAGCAAATTAAAAAAAAAAATAGAAATCATACCATTCATCTTTTCTGACCACAATGGAATGAAGCTGGAAATCAACAACTCAAGAATTTCGAAAACATATGCAAACACATGGAGACTGAACAACATGCTCCTGAATGAACAATAGGTCATAAAAGAAATCAGAAAACTGTTGAGGAACAGTTTTTTTTTTGTACTATTTTTTGAACTCTTCACTTAGTATAGAGTTAATTCTCTGTGTATAAAGTTAATTGAAAGTAGATCTTAGTAAAAATAAGGATGGGAATAGGAGAGGGAGGAGAAAGGAGGGTGGGAGTGGTGATGGGTAGGTGGATGGGTGCTACAATGGGAAGAATCACTATTACTATGTTCCTAAAGTTGTATTTATGAAGTGCATGAAGTTTATATACCTTAAATAAAAGGTTTCTGGGGAAAATAAAAGAATGCAATTAGTGGGGCTGGTATTATGGCATAGCGGTAAAGCCACTGCCTGCAGTGTCAGCATTCCATTAGGGTGTTGGTTTATGTCCTGACTACTCCACTTCCAATCCAGCTCTCTGCTCATTGCCTGGGAAAAGCAGCGAAAGATGACCCAATTGCTTGGGCCTCTGCATTCACGTGGGAGACCCAGAAGAAGCTCCTGAGTCTGGGCTGTTGCAGCCATTTGGGGAGTGAACCAGCAGATGGAAGATCTCTCGTTCTCTGTCTCTCCCTCTCTTTCTGTAACTCTGACTTTCAAAATAAATAAATAAACCTTTTTTAAAAATCCATCTAGCAAACAGCACAGCTAGCTTGCTTTCCCAGGTGAGACTGGTTTCTTAGGCATTGGGTACCTGGGCCCAGAGTGGTTAAAGGACAAGTTTGGGATTTCAGCATCACTTGTAAGTGTGGAATAACAGGTGGGGGCTTCCACTCACCTCAGAGAGCCAAAAAAATTATTTTATGTGCTAGGAATAGAATACAGCAACAGCAATTCTATGCTGGCTATACACTGTGCTCCCAACTGTATAGATTTTAAGATCCAAAGACTTCAAAGGAAATATTTTCTTAGTGACGTGACCTTGAGCAAGTCACTTAAAACTCTTAAATTCGGTTCCCTCACTTGAAAAATGAAACATCATAATCCTTAGATATTAGAGCTAAGGTAAGAATAAAGTGAGATAAGCCACTCAAAAAGCATAGGACAGGGTCCGGGACATAGAAAACATTCAATGCCTGGTAAATTCTGTTTTTATTTGAAGGGGAGCTGAGAAGGAAGAAGATCTTTTCAAAATTTTGCAGTGCTTCACATGAGACAAATATATTCACTGATCTATCAAAGTCAAAGAACGCATCTGTAGGAGGAAATATTGGCCCATGGTTGAGTGGTAACAGATTCCCACTAAAACAATGTTCAGCTTTGCAAACATGATACTAGACTAAAGCAGACATCAGATAGGGCACTGGAGGTTGTAACTCAGAGAGAATCCCTCCCACGTGGATTCCATTGAGCTTGTTAAGTGCTAAAAGTCAGATCACAGTCAGGTACTGTACCTTATTTTCTGTCCCGGAGGGCATGGTAACCAACAGGGCACCTGGCCGTGAGTCAATGATCCGTGTTGTAACGGCAGCTCTGACAGAGCACATCCGTGGCATCTCTCCAGGGATGAACCAATCTTGTTCGTTTCCTGTTTAGTTTCACATGGTTGGTGATTATTTATGGAGAGGCAGGAGGTAAAATTTTTTTAGATTGAGCAACCAATTGTGGGTTTTGAGGTTCACTCTTTAAATAACAAAAAAACCAATAGTTTGATTAATCTAAGTTACTCCCTCTACATTTGTTGTGTGGCCACCTTGGGCAATGTCACTGCACTTAGCATTAAGGGTATGTTGAAAACACAGCTCCCCATGATGTCCTGGGACTCTCTTAGGGTTCTGTCTGATGTTGCCAATTTCACCGTTTATTCACAGCCATTTCCTGCAGTTTCTCTGTCTCTTTTGCCACAAATGATTATAGCTTGTTGTTGGTTTCTGGCCTGCTACTCTCCCCCAGTTCCATCACCTTTCTGGGTTTTCCTACTTCCCTTTTGGCTGCAACCAAAACAGGCTTTTCTCTGCTAAGCTAACAAGCCTGACTTAAGGCTGTACAAAATACTGAATTCTTGGGGCCAGGATTGTGGCTTAGTGGATTGAGCTATCTCCTGCGATGCCAGCATCTCATACGGGTGTTGATTTGAGTTCTGGCTGCTCCACTTCTGAACCAGCTCCCTCTTAATGTACCTGAGAAAGCAGCAGAAGACAGCCCAAATGTTTGGGCCCCTGCATCCATGTGGGAGACCTGGATGAAGCTTCTGGCCTCTGGCTTTGGCTAGGCTCAGCCCTGGCCATTGTGGCCATTTGGAGAGTAAACCAGCAGATAGAAGAATCTCTCACCTTTGTCTCTACCTCTCTCTGTGTGACTCTGCCTTTTAAATAAATAGATAAGTCTTCAAAAAAAAATACAGAATTTTCTGTTGCTCCTGGTTTAATGTGGTATATGGACCACCTCCAATTTCTGTCTTTCTGAAAAAGTTTTAGAGCCCAGTAGAATCCGTGATGTCTGTCTACAGTCAGCTCCCCATTTGGTCTTCCTACAGTCCAAAGTGGGGAGAGGGGCATCTTAAAGATCCATCCTTTTCTTTCATTAACACAACATAAGTTTTGGGCAACTGGATCACACGAGCTAATTGCATACCTACTTTAGATCTGAGCATGAAGACCCATCAACTATATACATTCTTATTTATGTATCTATTAAATATTTATTCCCGATCTCAAATTATGTTTCTGCTGAATTAAAAAAAAATGAAGAAAAGAACACCATGAACAAATGGTTTGGAAACTATAAGAACAATTGGAAAGAGTTATCTAGGGGCAGGGACCATCTTGCCTTATTCATCTTTAAACCCTGAATTCAGATATAGTGGCACTATATTCTTGGCATCCATTCCCAATCTCTTCCTTCTCAATGGTCTTCCTTTTGCATTTGCAGCGCAGAGGTTACAGGGAAGATGACTTTGATCCTGGTTAAAAAAAAAAAAAAAAGCATGCACGTGATCTAAAGTGGTCCATTACAATGAATTACAGAATTTTTTAGGGAAATATGAGAGAAAGAAACTCCCTGGGAGCTGTTGGCTGCCACCTTTGGGGCTGTAGAAAGGAGAACTGGGAAAGAGATGGCAAGAAAATAGGTCCCATGTTTGACTTGTTGAGCCACCAAATGAAGTTCAGCTGGAAGCTAGTCCCAACTTGGCACTTTTCGCCTACATGAGGGAGAATGTCTCCTTTATTATTGAGCTATGTTGTGATGTTTATTTTCATATGCAATTGAAAGCATCATCATCAATATATTGTAATTGTGACTGCCACATAGTTGGTACTCAATGAATATTTGTAAAATGAGGAAATGATTGAATAACTATACCACATTGGAACTTTAATAAGGACTGAAAATTCTTTGTTTCAGCTAGACTTCAGCATTGGAAATTGGAGTATCAAAACTAGAGAGAGTCACATCCATTTACGTAAAGTGTGCTAGTAGCAGGTTTGGTGAACTCCAATTGACTTTGTCTATAGAGGTTTTTCTGGATAGAAACCCTAGTAACTTTTCAACCCAGAAGGATGTTATACAATGGAGATAAATGGCCTGACCATCCTATCTAGTTACACCTTGGCAGCAACACCTTCTCTTCCTTATTTTCATGTATGGCAATGATCACCATCCAACATATCATACATTTTCTTTACCTTATTTAACTCATGTGTATGCATGAGTCTAAGCTCCAAGGACCTGGGGATTTTCATCTCTGCCACTCACTCCTGTATGCCTCAAACCTAGAGTGGAGCTGGACGTGTAGTAAGCACTTGGGAAATATTTGATAGGTGGTAAGTTACAGCCTCCCTTAGCAATCAGCAGTGAAGACAGATTACACATCAATAATGATTTAGAATACTATAGATTCTTCTCATTCATTCAGAGTAGCTACAGGAGTTTCCTGGGGATCCAAATCTAGAACTGAGATCTGAGCTTTGGTTGTGCCTATCCCATTAAAGATCAGATAGGAAGCACCAATTTCATTTTGCTCAGATGCCACAGAGAGATACAGTTGGTGAAGACATCTCTGTGTCCTCTCACCCATATTCTCATTAGTTTCATCCCAGACAGGCCCTGATACGAGGTTCCTCAGATCCAGTGTCAATGAATCTTAAAAGGAATGTTTTGAAGCTAATAAAACAAACACAGGTGAGGCTGGCACACCAGCAGTTGCATTTTGCTCCAGGAGTGCATAATTTAGCTGACATTTTTCAAACTAATCAAGCATGGTAGCAAGATTTAAGGAAGGATTTTGGCTCTCGGGAAGTATTTTATCAGCATCATGTAAAATAGTTTAGGAATATGTCCAAGTGTGAGTGTATAATCTGTCAAATAAATTTATACCAGAAGTGTGGTCCCAAGAACCTTCTGAGAAATCCTTTAATTTCCCAAACCAAACAAAGAGATACATTTCAAAGAATTGCAAGAATTCACTGTATCCTGGATTTTGTTCTGGACATTTCTAAGCTTTTCCCAAATTAGTGACATTCTTCTTTCTCTGGAAACTAATGTATTTTAAAGGAATAGTTGAGGAAAATTTAAGGCTGCAAAGTGAACAAAATGAGAAAGCCATGTGATAGAAGTCCAATATTTGATGGAAGAATTTGTTAGAGTTCTCTCTTCAGTAATTTTTGGTGGGAGAAAAATTCTTCAAGGAGTAGCTCTTCAGTAGTTTGTCATACATTCATAGCCATGAATTACTTTTCTGTTGAGCTTTAATTACCAGCCAAATCTTGCTGGGATCTGGGCAAGACCAGGTAAAATGGAAAAGAGGACTCCTCAATTAAATAGTGATAAGGACTTAATTGTGTGATATGAATTATTATTGCTGCTAAAAGGCAAGCAATACATTTTTTCTTTTGACAGGCAGAGTGGACAGTGAGTGAGAGAGACAGAGAGAAAGGTCTTCCTTTGCCGTTGGTTCACCCTCCAATGGCCGCTACGGCCAGCACGCTGTGGCCAGTGCACCGCGCTGATCCAATGGCAGGAGCCAGGTACTTCTCCTGGTCTCCCATGGGGTGCAGGGCCCAAGTACTTGGGCCATCCTCCACTACACTCCCTGGCCACAGCAGAGAGCTGGCCTGGAAGAGGGGCAACCAGGACAGAATCCGGTGCCCCGACCGGGACTAGAACCCGGTGTGCTGGCGCCGCAAGGCGGAGGATTAGCCTAGTGAGCCGCGGCGCCGGCCAGCAACACATTGTTTAAACTAAACTTAGGGAGGGAGCGGTGTTGAACACAGTGGTAAGATGCTGCTTGAGATGCCCGCACCTCACGTTAGAGTGCCTGTGTTTGAGGCTGGGCTCAGCTTCAGATTCCAGCTTCCTGTTCAGGCTCCCCCTGGGAGGCAGCAGACACTGGGGTTCCTGCCACCCTCATGGGAGACTAGGATAGAGTTCCAGACACCTGGCTTCTGCCTAGCCCAACCTGCCTGTTGAGGGCATTTGGAGAATGAAACAGCAGATGGAAGAACCCTCCTCTTTCTGTCTCTGTCTCTCTCTTTCTCTGTCACTCTTTCAAATAATAATAAATGAATAAACCTTAAACTCAGAGGGGAGCTCTAAGGTGATAGGCATTATCTAGCAATGGCACATACATAAATCTTGAAACATTGTAGCAAATAATTTATTCTCCCTGCAAAGAAACTTACTGCAGAAGTATTCCTACATGTGTATTTATGTGTGCATATGTAACATATAAATACCCAAGCATGTATACATACATGCATATAAATGAAAAATGTCGATAAAGGAAATTTGAGCAAGGAAATGATGTGACATTGAGATCTGAGTACCAAAAGAGTTGGCATTTCAACTAACTTAAGGGAATTTCAGTGGAATGCAGATGTATGGAACAGGATGGTATAGGAGCAGACAGGGGATAGGCATGTCTACAAACCCATGTCACCTGCTGTCCAGAGACACACATGGATACCTCTCGCAGTAGTACATCCCGGAGCTGAATTTTCACCCAGGACACTTCTTAGTTGAGTGGAAATGAGGCAATGCTACCCTTCGGCCCACAGGGACCCTGGGTTCATGCAGGCAGTGACCTATGGGTTTTTTGCTATGTCTTTAGCCAGAGCTAGTATTTCATGGTACGACACACATTCATAAGTTGACACATATTTGGACATGTAAATTAACATCTACATCTTCATTAGCTGACTTACTTGGTAAGAAAAACAAACTCAAAGTAATTTAAATAGACAAGAGGAGGAATACAGTAAGAAGGAAAGGATGGAAGAAAAAGCTTATGCCTTGCCAAGAGATTAGCCTTAGAAGAATTTTATCACAATATAATTTGTGGCAATCATGACAGTGATCTAGAAATTATGGAGATAGCCACAACTCAAGGTTGAATGAGTCAGGTTAGGCTAGATTATGCTGCATTTGCAAATGAAACCCCAAATCTTGGGAGCTTAATACAGTGATGATGGCTCGTTTTTCCCCCATGCAAGGTCCAAATTCAACTGGCAAGGACCCTCCTTCTCCCAGAGATTCAGGAATCCAGGCTCTTGTCACTTCATGATTCTGCTCTCTTCCCAAGTGCCTTCAAA